ACCATTATTTAGTGTAATTTCTATAAAAATTTACTGGATTTCTGTAATGAAAGGTTCTTCATACTCACTCCCAAATAACACGATCTGAATGTCCCTTTAATTTTAATTCAAGGTTTTGAAGAGACAGAATATAGAAAACTGTACACAGTTTAACCGGATTCTTCCAAATATTACAAAGCATCTAGAAGCAGCTTCTGCAAATTAAATCCACATTTACATTTGAAAAAAATTACATTTGACCACATAATCACATTTTTTACAAGATTAAAAAAAAAAAAAAAGGAGGTAGGGAAGAGGGGACAGACAGGAAGATAATTAATTAGTTGTCTGATGGGACATATTCCCGAATGATGCAGAATTCAGACAAGCTATGTTTATTATACAAGTTCTGAAAACAGCCCATTGTTTCCAAAAACACAGTAGCCTCTTTTGCAGAGGACAGAAAGGATCCAGGAGAAGCTAAAACCGGGAATAATGAACGCCGGATTTAGTACTTACTGAACTGCAGATGCACGTAGCGCTGGTTTTAGTTATGCAAACATCAGATCAAGAGCACTGGATGAAACTGGGCTCCTCTATACTTCTTTCCCTTGCCTTTTTTCCACCTATCACCTCCCCTTTAGTTTACTTCTCTTTGCCTAAAAAGATCACTGTTGGAAGTAATCATCCAGCAACACAGGTGTTTCCTACAAAAACATTTTCTTTATTCCAGGCAAATGTCAGTCCTTAACTGTCTTAACTGCAGTGATTCGGTGTAGAGTTGGAAGAGAATTATGACAACTTACCAGGTGAGGATTTACCATTGAGAAATGATTCTGTAGGAGGAACACTTGCAAACCTCTTCCTAAAACAAGCAAAAAATAAAATCCCAAAACTCCTTTTACAGATTGGTATTAAGTCACTGTTCTGGAAGAGGGCATTGGCATATTGAAACCAAACTGACAACTGACAATAGTTTAAAACAGGGACTAGCTGTACCTATCATTTTAGGATTAGATTACAGGCATGTTTCTGCCAATCCCCTAAACTAGGGTTCAAGAGACTTGCACACACACACTTGTAACTTCTACAAACTGGTCAGTCATGATCTTCAGTGCTCAGAACTGAATAGTCTCAATGAAGCTCCAAGAAACCAAATTAAAACTGTAAGCGTCAAGATCCAACTCACAAGCCTAAAATTCAAATTTAAAAAAGGAAAAAAGTAATCATCAAGTAACCATTAAGGTTGGACAGGACCTTTCGCGATGACTTCACCCTACAATTGTTACCCACAACCTCTGATTTAGATGGATTTGCGTAAGAGTTTTTCCTCACATTTTGCTTTCCAAATTTCTCTTTTGCAATACAGACCAATTTTATTCCTGGGTCCTGGTTTGTAGTCATCTACATTTAATCTTAGTTGCCTGTCACCTCCAGCTTGATGTCTTACAGGACATCAAGAGATGTCTGTGTTACATGTTTTCATTAACTTACACTGACTGTGAGTAACAGCTTGCAAAGTATGTGTGTCCAAAATTACAAACGGGGGGTACAGGGACAAATCATGAAGAACACTGCTCCTTCACTGAACCCGCAATGAAGAACTGCTACGTGAACACAAGTGTTTCAGTTGAAAAGTTTAAAAATGTGTACTTTAAAGAATAGGGAAGAGACAAACAAATTGGTTTTGATATTGCAAGGCATGAAATTTTCCTTGCACCTCACTAAAGCAATGCTGTAAGTATTCCGAAGCTCATACACAGGGAGGCCACGCTTAGGTAGACACTTCTCAACAACCACGTTCAGATGCTGCTAAAAGCCTCTTCGACAAAACTTTTAAAGCAATCCACAGAGCTGCAACTGGCTATTGGACGAATCCTCCCTCTTACGCTGCTCAGTCAGAAACTTTAAAGATTTCCTTCACATCTTCAATTTCAATACCATAATTATGGGTCCTAAAATACTCTAAAGGGCTAATGTCCTGAAAATGTAACACTTGGCCCCCTTTTTCCTGCTAGAAAAAGGAGAATAGGTTTGCAACACCCCTGTAGACTTAATGTTTCCCTTTCAGGATATCCTTTTATGCCAGGTTTACAGCAGTATCATTGGTCCAATCATATCCTCAGTCCTAGAAAAACAGTGGTTTGGGTTGTTTTTTTTTCTTTTAAAGAGGTATACACTCTTGATGTAAAGAAAGAGCTTACTATGAATTCCTTCTTAGACTGCCCCACACACAGTAACTAAACATTGTGCTGCACAAAAACACCCTCATCCCTAGCAGACAGCTGTCAAAGAAGACACAGAAGTTTCCACCTTTTGTTTAGCATGTATTACAGCTTTTGAAAATTGAAATATTTATCTCTCAATGATGCTGCACTTACGTCAAGAGTGAAGCAACAATTTTGCCCTTCTTCCTCCAAAAGCTACACAAGAAGCCAAAACCAAGACCAGGGCTGGAAATGAGCAGTACTGTTTCTAAATAACTCAACTAGGTGGCAGGACGGCAACTAATTCTCTGAGTCTGATTAACCACAAGGACTGTTTAGGCAGTTAACTATGTTCATTTGATCGATACTTCATCCCTGCAATGACACATTTGAACTAGTTCTTCCCATTTATGAAACAGATTTGATTTGAACACCAGACCTGATCAAAACAGACTTGTTTGTAGAACTCAGTATCCATTGCATTACACAGTTCTGTCTGCCCAAACGCATCACAGGTGTAACTCCCATTGTATTCTGGGATTTCATTTCAGTCTTACATCTTTTAAAAGCAGGACTTCTGCTTTTACGCAGAGAAAACCTGAAGCACAATTTCCAGTTCCAAATATTTTTGGCTCAGAGCCCAGGGCCTTTGCTGCTCTGAGGTGAGACAGTCACAGCTGAAGACAAGGAATACAGAAATTGAGTGAAAGAAGAGACTTTTACCAACAGCTACTGTTGGCATCCCTTTGAAGTGATCTTGATTGTTGTAGCTCTTCACCTCCTACTTTGCTAATCCTAACGTTTAGGTGCAGCAGCAGGATTATGTACAAACTACTGTAAGAAGAGAAGCAAAGGATAAATTATATTTGCATGTATTTCATCTTGCCAGCCTGTTGCCTCAGCAAATTCAGGCCAGAAAAACAATGCTTGCAAGATTCCAGCTACTACATATTTCTCTTCTGCTGATGGAGGTCATGGACTATCTTTGCATCTAACCCGTTTGCTCTGCTGAAAACTGTTGGTTGTACAGGTATTTTCATTCCCAACGCTAAACCCAAGCTTCTTCCTAACACATCTGTTTGAGGATGAAGAGGCATGACTTCTGTATTTTGCCGACATACCCATCTTCTCAATTTCACAAACCCTGGAACAGCATTTCTAATGAGTAATTAGCATAGGTTTACAAAAATAAAGTTTCACAGTTCATCTGAAAGAGATTAAGAACTGCCCATGCCTGACTACAGAGGTTAAATCTCTGTCTTCCTGGGGGACAGCCTTAACGACTGAAGTAAACAGTACTAGCTCCCACATTTATGTGTAAGCATTAGCTTTTGCTGAATATTTTCCATAACATAGTATTATAATACCACATCAAGAAAACTAAACTTTCAAATCATAATGGTAACATATCCTCACCTCCTTTCCAGAGAATTAATAGGAAAATTTTTCAGCAAACATTTGAGTATTGCCAAAAAATAGAAGCTGACTATATTAGTTTATTTTTAATTACTTCTACAGCTCTTGCATACCTTCTACTTTCCCCTTCGTTACCAATACTGACTAACTGACTGCACAGCAATTGTTACCACTTCATGAGAAGTAAGTGTCCTGTGGTGTAAAATAGCAAGCTAACATTGCATCACTGCTTAGGAATTTACACAACCTACTAATTAGTTCTAGAACTGTAAGTTAATTGCTGTGAACGCCTTGAATATTGCTGTAAGAGCTTGGTTTTCCCCTCTTGAAATAACACCCATCTCCCTCAAACCTCTGGTGCAACGAGGAAAGGTGTTTCCATTCCTGGGAGGAAATACTCTCCAGGAGTGAAACGACTGGCTTGATGTGACACAGCCCAGACCACACCCTGCAGAGGGAGACCAAGCAGGGCATCCGTCTGGTTTTCATCCCCTGCTCATCTTAGATGTTGTTACCACGGCAGCTTTTCTGGAAACCGTTTTGACATTCTTCTATTAATTCCTGAGCTTAAATTTTCTTAGTTGTCCAGTGTTGAGGGTACAATATGAGCAAAATTAAGCAAAATAACAGTGATTTTTGACATGTCCCACACTTCTTACCAAGCTAGTGAAACTGACAGTTAAGTACATGCACAGAATTATTGCAAAATAGAGCTTGTAAGCTTTACATACTGCAGTTCAGTCACTGTTTAGGAACGTTTCCGTTATTTTGGAAGCCACGCAAATTGCGCATCATGATGCAACAACAACCAAGCCACAAGTCATCAAAGCACCCAGTTTATCCACAGGCATTAAGGCAGATCGGTTTGTTCACCCAATCTGTGAGAAGGGGTAACCCTTGTTTCCTTACTGTTCAGCTTCTAAAAATAGAAAGGTACACCAACATTGCCTGCACAAAATAGAGCCAATTTTTTCTTCAACACCTTCACACCCCTAAAAGTCACCTGCTTGAAAAAGTTACATGTAAATTACATAGCCCTTTTAGCAGGAATCTTGTTTTCATTAATTTGGGTGCAAATTTTAGCACCGCTGTCAGCGAAAAGTGCATTTTCTACCCTCGAAACAAGGATTAGGTGAAAGCAAGTGGTGAGACAGCCCTAATTTTTCACATTTTCAACCAGAGATGTGGACATTAGTCACAGCTAGAATTTCACCCTTTCATTTGACTTGTTTTTTTAATATATTTCAGTTCAGCTGATTAAAAACAAAGTCAGTTTTAACATGTTTACAGCAATTCTTGGCATTTGTACTTTTGCTATGCACTTTCAGCCCACAAACCAACTATGGGAAAAATCCCGCTTTGCAAGTCTAAAACCGAGTGGCTGTACACACGCCTCACCTGCATCATAGTGACCACGTGGCACGGATTCAGGAGGTAAATGACAGTCCTGGTGGCAAACTTGAAGCCCACCTCCAGCCCAAAGACCAGGCAGAGCAGCACCAGCAGCAGGTTCTTGCCCAGGCTCTCCCGCTTTGCCTGGGGCTGCTGCAGCAGCAGGGGAGCCTCCAGCTCCCTGGCAGGCAGCTGCCTCAGCTTCCAGAGGGAGAGCAGGATCTCCACGACGCCCACGCTGAGGAAGACCAAGCTCTCCACCCAGCGCTGCTGCCCGGAGAGAAAGGCCGCGCACTCCGGCCCTCCGTTGCCAGCGAAGCTGGGGTCCACACCCCCGTACATCCAGTCCAGGAGGTTACGGAGGCTGTAACGAGACATGGCGGGACGGCGCCTCTCCTCCTCCCCGCCACCGTCCAGGAACAGGTAGGAGCAAGACGGAATCAGAGCCCAAATGCCGTCGGGCTGACGGAACATGAAACGCGAGGGCGGCCCCTCTGCAGTCCCCTTCCTGGCCAAGCTCCGGAGGAAGCAGCTCCGCTCGGGGCACGGCTGATTTGCGACCTCCCTCTCGGTGCCAG